TGCAGATGATGTAACCCTATATTTCTCATCTGCAAACCTGGATAAAATCTCTCCTAATCATCTGTCAAACCTTGACCGACTTGCTGAATGGGCCCCTGAAACATTAATCATTAATCCTGAACAAACAAAAAGCTTACAGTATATACAAAATCTCTACCAAAACTGCTCCAAGTTACCTCTCCCCATATCTCCTTCTCCCAACCAGGAAATACCACATACTATCTCCACTCCCTCAAATCCATGAAGTCATGCCTCCAACAAGCCTTCACAAAAACATTCCAGAAAAACCTCAAGTAAAGGGGCATCTAGCATTGGAATTCCCATCTTCTTAATCAATTAAGGTGCTCCCCACTTTACCTAGATTTAAAACTGACCTCAAAGAATGCCTACTAGTGCAATACCTACTATAGCTATTTCACCACCAAATCCTATCACTTTTATCATGCTCTACTCATGTTTTTTTCGCTCCCCTCTGCTGGGCACACCCCACAGATTTTTTCTCTTTCCCCACACATTTATACACATTTCTCCTGCATAAGGTTATGTGGCCCTTCCCACTTCTCTGTATTCTTTTTTTCCCGTTTCCTTTGCACAGTTCTATATATTGTTTTACCATATCTGAAATGCATTAAATTATTGAATTGTCTACGTATAAGAAACTCCTAAGTACTTGCTGTTCATCCTTCCTAATATGTTTGATGCCTCTCCTGCAAACAAAGCAATTGAGCTATCAGTTAAGCTTCTGTATAGCCTACTAACATGGACAATAAATCATTCGTCCATCAGGTATGGGAAGTCCAACGTTAAGTCTAGGCCTGACGTTATGCTTTTCAAAATTGAACTCTGTCTACGGATAACCCAGGCCTATTATGAATAAGCCTAGGATTAAGGCTTAAGTAAATTTCCATGCTCTTAGGGCCAACGTTGCGAGATTTTCCCTCACCTCGACTGAATAGGTAACAGCAAAACTCTTACTAAAAACGTTGCCTGCATAGTTCCCAGTGTTCCCACATAAAGGAATTTGTGAATGTCTTTTGATTCATATGCGAGTTCACATCTCTTAAGAATCGAAAATCATCAGCAAAAAAGTTTGCAATTGCTGAACAAGGCACAGGGCCCATGGGGCCAGAGAGAAAATAAAGGCAACACATGGAGAACACAGCCCTACTTGAGAGCCCTACTAGAGTGCTTGGAAACAGCACATGCTCGCTGCGGTCCCATGATGTCACCAGTAACCAGCCTATTGCCCAAAGTGAAAGTGTCAGCAGTGGACAAATTGACAGCAATTAGGACTTTTGTAGATGCATCTTATAGGAAACACACATGATAACCAAAGTCATGAAAGTTTAACTAAAGTTTAAAGAGTAAGGCCCAAATGCTGAAACCTCCTTTAGCTAATAGTCCTTTAAGAATATATGGACTCCAATGGGGGAAAAGTAGCTCTTTAGTTTAACCCTTTCAGACCTGGCATCCATTCCAAAAATGGACATTGCATTTACATTGCATCTATGGCAACTTATTAAGATTCTTGTGATTTTGTACTCCATTTTATGCTACAATGGGCACAATTATGCATGGCTCAGTTTTATAAGAGGCCTTCTTTCACCCATTAGTTTGTAATATTCAGTTAATTAAATTTGCTATATAAAATATATGGTATGATATGGTAAATTTATACAAAATATGAAAACTACATATAAAGCATGAAAATTTCAATTACAATCATTAAAAAGCTCAAAAGTGCAAAAAAGGATATTATTCCAATAGCAGCATTAATTCCAGTCTGAAAAGGTTCAAGGCCTTTTTATATCCCTTAAATGGAGTTTGCACATTTGGGCCCTAAGAGCCTATCTAGGTGATGGAAATTCTAGGACTTGTGAGAGAAGTGATGCAATCAAGTATATTGCTAACATGGTAAATGACCACCATGATTCTTTGCATACCAATACTATACCTGACATGTCTGAGTTGCTCAGAATCAAGGATATAATCTCTTTAACCCTTTCGCTGTTAGCCCAAGTATGTACTCGGGCTGCACACGACGCTTTCACGGTGGTAGCCAGAGTACGTACTCGGGCTCTGAAACTCAGTCCTTTTAGGTTGTTTCTCCACTACTAATGGATGTAACTGACATATATTCTGTATTTTAAAAAAAAAAACCTCCTTTTCTATATAACAGGGCTACTTTTTGTCAACATATATGACTTTTGAAGAAATTGTATGACAAAAAAAGTGCCTATCTTTATCAACCCATTCTGTAAAAATGGCTTCCTACACACTTAGTTTTGCATTAGATGATGAAATACATATAATTTTAAATCCTAATTGTGACATTTGCTATGTAAGTAGTGAAAATGAAGGTGATGTAGAAATGGAAATTGAAGCCAAAGCTTGAGATGAAGATTACTATGATGGGAGTGGAGATGCAAGCAGGAATAAAGGTAGACCAAGGGGGCAAAAAACAGTTCCTGTACCTGAATTTAGCGAGAATCCCCCATGCAACTAATTTCTTGACTTTTACAGGAAATCCTGGGTTGAAATGGAATATTACAATCTCCCTGAGATAGATAATTCTGAAATAATATTCAGAGATGCCCCGGGTCAATTTATATGTTGCTCGCAATATGTGCTCACAAAAACCTCCTTGAACATGTAATAACAGAAACATTTAGGTATACATTTGCATCAAACTGACCTTATTTTTAACACAGCACATATTCACAATTGAATATTCCAGGGTAAAACCAATGGAGAAACCTCTCTGCACAGGAATTTTGTAATTTTTTTGGCACTGATTTAATGGGCATTTCAATATGGCCTTCTATTCAGTCTCTCTGGAAACTGATAAACTTTTTATAATCCCTGCTTTTGGTAAAATCAAGTCTGTCAATGGATTTATACACATCTAAAAAATTTGTGCACTTTTCTGATAACACTCTGGCTGTTCCTGGAAATAAATTTTAAAACACGTTTTGGTCTCTCATCAATAGTTTTCAAGATAGGACAATTTAAACTTAAACCATTGTTCGCAGAGACACAGCACAATTCTTATAACACAGCGGAGGTCATGAGGGCATTTTTTTTAAACAGTGAAAGGGTTAAGAGTGCTCCAGATCCAACATTGGGTTTGTAATACAAGGCAACTATACCAACTTGGATTTTAATTCTCATTTCCTAATCAGTTTTTTCATTCACTTCCCCAAGTCACTTGACCTACTGCAGGATATGGTTCTGTTGGGTAAGTTTCGTACAGTGCTGTCGTTAATTTCACTGAGAAAATGCAAGCAAAGTGGCTAGACCAATGAAAACGAAGAGGAGTAGTAATCCAAGGTCAAGTTAGAGTGGGAAGAAAACCCACAGGCAAAACAAGTGAATAAGATAGCCAAGATACATTTTTGACATATATGGTAATGTTCAGTGACTACACAACTTAGGGGTAATCTAGCTACCTTGGGATGTGGACATCGCATATTCTTGTGAACTATCCCATCACATACAATTCTGAATGAGATTGAATGTCTCTGAATCTACTAAACCTCTGCATTGACATTGATCTTTTGGTCAACATGTGGCTGACAACCTATTCAGCTGAAGGTTTCATTCAAATAGTTGTGGATACATATATGTTTTGGAACCAGTGAAACCAGGTTATCCCACAAAGCAGGTAGGAGAGTTTCTCCAAGCTGATTTGATTTCCCCTATGACCTGCAACCTTTACCAGCCACCCCATGCTTATAAGTATCAACATACACAGAGGGTGTCACACATTGATTGGAATCCCCTCCATGCAGATAAAACAGGCTGCTTGTCTTGTTATATTGCTAATAGAAAGTCTGCTTCAAAACAATTTTTTTTTTCCTTTTCGAATAAAATGGCTTACATGACGAAAAAAAATGTGGTACTGATATTAGTGAATTATGCTATGTCAACAGCATTCCACATTGCTTAAACCCTTAAGTGCTACGATTCAAAGAACCCTGTGTACACTCTTTGATTTTATTTTCAAATGCCAAGTCTTCATTCACTGACACACAAAAAGTATAACCAAAACCCTACACATGTGCATTACTATGATGAAAACAGTTTGCAAGATGATATTATAGATGCATATTTGGTCAAATGCACTCAAGGGGTTAAGATGCAGAGCCCATTACAGGTCTTAGTATATGTATGATAGTTGTTTTGAGGCCCATTTAATTACATATTATAAGTGATAAATATTGTACTTAGTTAAGGTTTAATGAGCATTTGATTTCATTCCTAAACCATCTCAGTTGGCTTGTGGGAAGGGGGCAGCAATCAAGGCTTGACACTATATATAGGGTGTCCAACAATCATTGCAGGATTTTAATATGTGAAATCTGAACTGCTAAAAATCCTCACATAAGAAACAATGCATTATTGTACGTCTGACATTTCATTGCGTATTTGTTTCTAAATTAGTTTGTTGCAATTTCTCTGGAATTAAGCACACTTAATACCATGATACATTGCTCACATGACATGCAAGGGAGAGAAAGCAATGTGTTATGTGTTGTTTAGACAATTCCTTTCAGCAATGACAGTAGCTAAAGGCAAATATACCATACAAAAGTGAACTGTTTTAAAAGTGTCTCTCTCTCCCATTTTGGGGCAATGAGGTCTGAAATAAAAATCTGTCATTAAGGTCCATTTTCTTTGCCACTTCACTCTCCGTATTTGACATTGTGATTTCAATTGGGAACATGGCATAACCCTTGTGTTCACCAAGCCACATGATGTTAAAGATTTTACTAACTGAACTTCACATGCCACAGTAGGAATTCCAGTGGGACACTAGGAAAATGCCATTGTTTTCATTGTCACGTGAAAGTACAATGATGTTATGGGGCATCGCTCAAAGGTTAAACAAAAACTGATTGTCGGCTAAATATATTCACATTTGTGTTCACCTTCAGACTGATGGAATTTGAACAGAATGAAGGTGAGCATGATTTTCATAGATCTGAACCCACAACAACTTATAGAATAAAAGGATGCCTTATCGAATATAAAGAAATTTTTACCTTATGTTCAATGTTCGTCTGCTGGGTCTTATCAAGGTGGACCTTGATGAGACGTGATCCATCCAAACGAATACGGATCCTCTTCCCAACTATCTCAGCAGGAAAGACCAAATCCTCCAAGATAGCATCATGAACAGCAGTCAGGGTACGACTGTCAAAGAAACAATGGAAGAAGAAAAACCTGAAATCTCAACCTCCATGTAGAGAAATGAGAAATTTGGACAAAACAGTCACATGAATTCATCATATATTACTAACAACACAGCAGTCATAGTCAGAGAGGCGGGGGACAACAGTCATCAGAGATTACAAACCTGCGTGGCCTCTTCTGCTTGTTCTTGAACTTGGTCTTCCTGGTGGGCTTTGGAAGAATCCTCCTCTGTGCCACAAAGACTACATGCTTTCCACTAAACTTCTTCTCCAATTCTCTTACCAATCGGGTTTGGATCTTCTGATACATACGCAGCTGAGGGACTGGGACAAAGATGATGATTGCCTGAAACAAACAAAAAATTAAATCACAAATTTATGAGAGAAACAAGCATTTGAAAAACCAGTATTAAAAAAGAAAATGTTCTCACTTTATAACCTCATTAAGGTGTGAAATGGGATTTTCAGAAAGATTATATCAAGTTAAACAGTCTTCCTGGCCCAGGTGAATCTGCCATAGTTAGAGCTTTGGATATACATTCAAATATCAGGTCTAATCAGGGGAATGAAATGCTTTGACAAGAGTAAGTCAAGAGTATAGACTAAATAGATTCAACATCAATGAATAGGAGTGGAGAACCTTTTTGCCATTGACATCGATCTCCTTTGCAGCTGTGACGTACAGTTCTCTCAGCTGAGCTTTGAGGTCGCTGTTAGTTTCCAAGTCCACCAAAGCCTGGCCAATGGACAGCTCAAACTCATCAGGCTGCTCTCCAGCAGGTTTAGACACCTTATTGACGGTATTTATCATCTGCGAGGAAAAGGGGGGAAACCTTTGTTACCAAGAACCCAGAAAATATCACAATTACAGGATGATATAGTTGTGAGGAAGTACAGCCAAGGGTCCCAATAGGCCTAGCATAGACCGACTCTATGTATATACGATATTACTTCCATGGTCATTCAATGAAAATCGTTGCATTAGTCTCCAATCTCCTTTTTCATAGTTGGACATGCGAACTCAATATCCCCGTTATGATTTCGGATATTATTTTGAGCGAACTCTCATGTGAACGAGGGTAATCCCGTCTCAATCGTTCCAATTTCTTCCTTATAATGTAAGATTTTCAAATCTCTACGAATCAACGTCATTTACGTGATCATAAATAGAAAAATTCAGTACCTTTGCTCACAGATCCGGCTGTCACACCATCACTGCCAGCCGACATGGACGAAAAGGAAGTTCTACCACCATTGACTTCACGAGGGACATCTAACAGAAGTACGCGTCACCCTCTTGCTGCTCTCGTTAATTCCTGACATCTAGCGGTAGAACTTTCAAACATTGTTTCTGGATGCAGGTGGAGATGGAGATCACGCACTCCTGGCCTTCAAGGCCAAACGATGTTTTTGGCGCGAATTTCCGTCATTGTTCAGGTGACATGGAAGAAACTCTCGTGGGTGACCCTGGTAACGAAGGCCAATCCGTTTCCATTGCACTCAGCTTAACCCCTCCCAGCCTATTTACTCATGAAGCGGAAGAGAAATCCAAGGTAGAGTGACCTGCATGATGTAAAAAGGAACACTGTTACTCTACTTATGGTACGTACAATGTGAGAAACCCGGGAAGAGGATAACAAGAGAAACTTGAAATGTGGTGATAGCTGGCGGTACCAGACTAGATTTACTATTCATCATCCTGGGGAGAAGAGCTGAGAGGGAGGAAATGAAATATGGAGAAATGGACCCGCAGAAACATTGAAAAAAATGTATCCTACATAAAAGCCTTGAATTTGACTGCAGTTGACAATCCTTGCAACCTGCCACGTCTGTCTTTGTGTACATCACTTTTTAACTTGACTTTGTCGGGACCATGTTGGCCGTCTTTACATACGGTATCATATCTATACTTTTTTCTGTCTACCCTTTTCCATCTACTCCGGCTCAGTTTTTGAGTTTTCTGTGCTATAAATACCTGTATTCACAACGTACGTTATGAGCATTTGATACACAGCCACTCGGTAAAATCCAGATTAAGTAACCCAAGGACCGTAGTCCTTTCTCTCCATATCCTGATTGCTGATCTGACTCGTGATTTCTCCATCCATTGGCTTTTGCGACCGAGAAAGTATTTCAACGTATTGTGCAACATATCCAACGAATTTCGTTGGAAAAACATGGACTTCAAAGAAAGGCTCTGAAGCTCCGGATTTTATCAGTACCCGTTGATGGAACTTGGATGGGTGAGAATTGCCGTAGTCGATGAGTGTGAGGTGGAACAGAGTGAGCTTGGGGGGACGGTGAAAGCCAATAATGAGGAGAGGAAGTTGGAAGCTGAAACAGGAAACGGGACCAGTGTCTTTGTCAGGAGGAGGCCAGGTGCATCCTGGTGTTATGAACAAGCAAGGCAAGCCGCATTCTCCCCGTCGATCGATAGGATCTCCAATTTTAAAGGTTCCCTTCATGCATCTGCCGGTTCCATTCTTCTGTCCCCTGATCCATCGCCATTCTGCTGCAGCAATAATTCCGATGGATCAACTTCAAAGCGCCGGCATCATCTCCAGAACGTTAACGGTTATTGAGCTTTGTCGAAAGTCGTGATCGGCATCATAACTTTTCGTTTTTAAAGTCGCAAAAACACGATATGCCAGTAGACAATTTAAAACTTGGAAGGCAATTTTTTTTTTAGAGCTGAGAGGAAAGTTCACATTTTCTTCTCATATGGATACTAATCATATTATGCTATGATGTCACAGTGCTGGAGTGTTTTCCAATTTATTTCACATTGCTTCGTTTGACCATCAAGAGAAAAAAATGCCGATTCAGGCCTTCGTCCTCCTTTGTTCCGAAAATCTGTACCGCTATACCATGCAACCAGTTATGGGCAATATATTACTTATCATTTAAATATCAAATACAAATTATCGAATCAGAATATAGGTAAAATATTAGAAAAAAGACTTATTTCACAAGTACTACAAGTAATAGATAAAATGTACCTCTTTGAAATTTAAAAGCACCTGGAAATAGTAGGGCGTTTTTTACCGTGTCGTCTTCGACTTTTCTTGGTTATTACTCTTCTATGCGTGTTACTTTCGAAGCGAAATCAATTTGTTACGTCCGAGATTAAATTTTCTATCGATCGTCTCCGGAGCTGGGATCCAAGCAACAAATTTAATGAGAAGTAGCTGTTAGGGACCCTAACTTCTTGAATTTTGCTTTTTGCTTTTCTTGTAACCTGTCACCCATCTTATATTGGGCAGGTCCAGAGTCGTTGGGAAAAAATGCGCAAAAAAGTTTGAGTTGCTAAAATGGCGTGCAACTTACTATCCCTGCACTGTATGCTTACTCACTTGGACTGTATACGCTTCACTAAACATGCGTCATCTGACGTTGGATTGCTCCTCCACCGTTCCATTTTGATGAATTTAACACTTGCTTGGTGAATCCCACTTTTTGAGTAATTTGTTACGTCAGTAACGCTGGAAAATTATTCAAGCCAATTCATTTTTGAGCAGTAGCAAATGTCATTTGACATGAAGGAAGGTGATGTTTTATGCCTACTTTTCTGAAAATATGGAAGCTTCAGGTCAAGCCAAACAAGACAGAATTGGAAAGGAAGCAGCGGAATGAAAATCGTTGTTTAAACTATGTTACGTTAGGAACACGACATGAATGGTCATACTTTTATTTTATTCATGGGAGAAATGAGAAAAATTTGACCGGAATAGTCACAGGTATCTACTGTATGCCCTATAAGGCACTGCTGAAGAAAAATCTCTGGACCGAACCATATTTAAGGTAAACCATCATACATGCTTTCATTTCCAGTCTGGTGTTACATCAGTAACTTTGGAACTGCCCTATTACAGAAAGCGGGACTTTTAAATGAGTTACCTTTTCACGGAAGAAAGCTCAGGTTACTTTGAGGTAGATGACGGGCAGAACAGTTTCGTGCACCGAAGTTGGATTTGTCCAGTGAAACCACCATTTTCCAGGACCTAGGCACTACTAAACTGTTTCATGATCTTTGATGTTATGTGAAAAATGTGGAAATTGTTGCAAGGGAAAAAGATTGTTCCTCTTATTTTAAAGAAGGGATTGTAAATTTCATGGGAAAAATATATGAATCTGTGGTATTTAATTAAAAAAGCCCAAATGTTAACACAATACATGTTAAACATTCCACATCTTCCCATGCAATGCAATTGTAAGACTAGTCGCCAACTCTATTCAACAACGTTGCAGCCAAATGAGCAGCTGTTAGGCAGTCGGGCTAAAATGAAAATTGTACTGAACTCAACCGAAAAGCACTTCTCAGCTAACAAGATTCAGGTGAAGACGAGGCCCTTTCTAAATAGGGAGGAAAAAAAAAGAAGGGAAAATATGGAGGAAGGGAAAATGAGGCTATCTTTACCACACGGTCGCCGATGTGTGAATGGAACAATGAACTCCATTGGACCCTATGCTCTTCAGACCACCAGAGGGCTTTGTTTAAGAGAAATAACTCACAGAATAGTTGAAACGTGTTTTCCGGAAATAATTCAAAGGTCACGGGTGCTCAACCTTTGGCATCGAATCGTTTTAGTCGAATTCCCATTCTCCTCCACTACCTCCCTCTTCATTTCCCATGTTCAGGCACCTGAGCTGGTGCTCAATGCAGAAATTTTGCATGAGGTCTACATAATGCAATATCCACATGATCATCCGCAACAAAAATGTTTTTCCTTATTGATGGTCCTGACGAGGTTGTCGATCTGGGACGAGTGTTATGTAACTATCGAAAAAAAAAAGCCAAAAGAAGCGCTTCAGCTTTGCATGATGGAATTTGATGCGTTGTTTACCTCTCATCCCCGTTATAATCACAGGGTGAGACGCGGATATGGCCACTGTCAACCCATGTCATGCTTCATCCAAGTCACAGTGAGTCGGAAGAGACTCCGTTTACCAAACAAGAAATTATCACGTCGCTCATCCTTATCGTCATTCCCTTGTTTCCCCCTAATTAAGGTTTATGATTCGGAACTCACAAAGGATAGCAAGAAGACTAGCGTAATGCAGAACGAGCGACAGTCATCCAACTTTAACATCACGAACTCGATCCTTTCCGTCGAGCGGATCGGTGCGTTTCAGGAATGCCCTGGGGCATGAGAAAGAAAGAGGGGGAGAGAGAGAGAGCGAGAGAGAGAGAGAGAGAGAGAGAGGGAAAGAGAGATCTAAGATTTGGCGGGAAAACGAGAGAGAGAACGAAGAGGATTCAGAAGAGAAAGAGAGGACGGATGATGACGGTCTCTCTCTGTAGGCCTAGAGGGGTACATGAGGTCGTTCCCCCTACATTCGGCTCCGCCTCTTTTCAAGGTTCGCTTTCATACTTCCCCTCCCAACGTTTCCATTATTCCCACCGTAGTATAGACATAACTTTGGGAATTTTTGGAAGGAGAGGACACTATATCTGCCCGGCGGGGACGGTGAGTCCATAAATCAGCAGCTGCAGGTCATGATGCCAGCTGTGAAATAAATCTCTCTTTGGCTTCACCTTGAGGGAGAAAGTGGAATTCCGAGGACCTGCATGCCCTTGCGAGTTTGTAGCTTACGCAATACATGCTTCATCATTGCCAATGCCAAAGCCAAGATCACTGGGATCCCCGTTTCATGAATTCCCGCCCTATGCCCCTCTGGTTCTGCTCGCCATTGTCTTTCCCCGCATGCAACACAAAGAGCCCCACAGGGAAAAAGGGGGTCCTTGTCCCGGATTCTGTTGAAAGCTCTCCCTTTTCAAACGAAATTCCTACGACAGCTGGTGCTCTGTAGAGAGCTACCCCGCATCGAAACTGTCGCAGGAGCAGCCACCATGAGAGCACTCTCATAATTTCTACGTGTTCAGGAGGCGGGGAAGGGAACGTTCTTTTGATTTAACGGCCGTATCTACTCAGGCAGTCCGGAGTATCGATTCAAGGAACATGAAAGGGGCAGCCGAGATAGTGGATAACATTCTGCTTTCTTTGGGGAGATTGATAAGATTCAGATAAGACATCAGCGGAAACCTCTACGCAGGCCTTCTGTCCCTGAGTATAGGTAGGGCAGGACCAAGCCAAGGCTCGGGAACCGGGAACATCTGTAGGGCATCAGTAAACAACTCCATTGAGATTTCCCGCCAAAAGCTGTCTAGTTTCAGCCCCTACACAAGCCCTCTGTTCTCCCTCCCTCTCTCCTTCGTTAAAAATGTAGTCCCTAACATCTCGCAATTACATCCCATACATTATGCTGTGATCTTCCAAGAATGGCAAATGTGGATCGTTTCCATTCATAACTGCAACAATGTGTCTTCAGATTGATAGAATTATGCTCATTTCTTTGTGCGAGGGGAGAAACGCGGAAGAATACCTGCCCGGGATTAGCGGAGAGCTGTAACGGTCTATAGCGAGCGCCGCCTTTCATTCTCTGGCTAGGCTGGAGAGGGAGGAATAGCTAGAGAGAGGGGAGAGAGCGGGGCTTCAGCCGCCATTTCCTCCTACTCCTCCATCCAGCACCACAAACAACCGTCGAAGATCTATGTTGGCCTGATATTTGCCGTGCTCTGGCCAACTGCAATGCACTCCCTGAGCCCCAGAGGTTCGTTTCCGTTTCATTCTGTCGCATGCTTCATGGTTTTTCCTGGCCGTGGAATCTTCGATGTTATGTTGATCCAGTCTTGGGTGACTGGCATAGTCCATGCTTAGTTCAAAGTCAGGGCATAAGGTTACCTCGATGCCGTGCAGTCCACAGCTTCTTTTCATGATAGAATCCTGTTGCTCAATAATCGTGGTTGAGATGAACTCATCCAGGTAGGCCTGCGAATTATCTGCCCTCGGGTGTTGTGCGTAAAGGTTAATCCTAATGAATGTCTAGGCAATCTAGTTTTCATCCTACCAAATGCGGCAAGAGTCGAGTGAAGTAATTGTGCAGGTTAGGTTAAGAAAATAGATTGTGAGATGGCTTCCCGCCTAGTAGCGCCATCTGTTGAGATGTGGGCCGGGCCTAGTTGTGGCCTGGATCTCCTATGTGTGCTGCAAGAAGTTGAGACAAAGGGAAAATTGCCATAGGACAGTGTTGAACGTTAGTTTGAATCTTCACGCGCCCTCTGCTTGGGGATAAAAAAGGCTGTACATTTTAATATTCAAGGAATGAAAAGGCCAGTACTTGAGTTCCTGTGACTGGATTTTTTCTTGAAAGACTTAGTTGTAGTTGAATTGTAGGGACTTATCCAGTAGTTCATGCCTTTTATTGGTAGACCTACACCTTTTCCTGTGCAAGTGCTTGTTTTCCCTTTCTCTAATGTATGTAAATGAAAGCCTCTCAGGACCAATAGATAAATTTGTAAAGCATAATTCAAGCCTGTACAAAAACATAGCACTAAGCCAATAACATTTTTTGGATGATCGTATATATACACATTGTATCAAACCTCCTTTTTTTTTGCAACATGATCTTCACAGCTGATGCACCGTCAGAGGCTGGTAGAGGCATTGGAGTCGGCTACAGCAGCTGAGGAAGTGCATATTGGCCTCCCTGGCAGTAATGAACGAACTCCACCCATGGCAATTTTGTCGGATTGTGCCTTGGAGTACTCGGGTGATAGCAGCAGTCATGGATGGACTGTTGCCACAGACTCGGGAGAGTCACTCACAAAACCACTTACTCCTTCAAGCAAGGAGGCCTTCAAAAGTCACATGCAACCAAGAGAGGTGAGATGTCAGGTTTGTTTTTTTGCTAGCTAGTTAATTCATGGTGATTGAGGAGGGTATAACTTGGAAATCTAGCTTATGAATTCTGCTGTTATAAGGAGATTCCCATTCTGTTTCTTTGGAAGTTCTCTTGGAATAGTGATAGGTCTACATACACTCTGCATAGGTGAGGAGGAGACTGGAGTTGGATGATGGGACATCCATCCCCATCATAGACATATCTGAATTCAAGACTCCACAGATGCTGCGGAGAAGAACCACCTCGACTGGGACACCTCGATGCTCAGATGCTAGCCCTGTTGGTGAGGATAGGCATATACTGTTTCATGCATTCTGAGGGAATCCCCTTTTCACATCAAATACTTTAAAATTTTGTTCAAGCTGGACGTAGTCCTGGTTGTCGCAAAGATGCATCCTTGGTGAATATCACCAAGCGTTTCATGACTTTGGTGGATAGTTCTCCTGACCGACGAATTGACATCAATCGGGCATCCATCACTCTTGGAGTTCAAAAGCGCAGGATATATGATATTACAAATGTCCTGGAAGGAATTGGGGTATTACAGAAGGAGTCTAAGAACACCTGTCGATGGAAGTAAGTTTTTGGCTTGTCTCTCTGCTTTTTGAATTTCAAAGTCTTTTTTGATGGATTCAGATTGATGTTGAAGTAATTTTTGGCAGAGGTACCCTGGGAGATGGTGAGGATGCTGATGCCTCTGGTGTACTGCTAAGAGAAGAGCTAGAAGACTTGAATGAAAAGGAAAACACTATGGATCAGATGATAGCAGAGGCAGAGGAGGAGCTAGGTCGGCTTAAAGGTGGAGCAGGATCATATGTGACCTATTCTGACCTGAAAGGCATTCCCTTGTTCCAGAACAAGACTGTGATAGTTATTCAGGCTCCTCCTGATGCTCTCTGGGAATCTTCCCCTCCTGGTGGTCAAGTGAGTTTCCAATCAATTATGTACTTATCAGCTTGTATATAGAACTACACCAAGATTTGCTGATCTCCTCAGAATGGTGCCGGTGGAACCCTACGAATCAAGAGTGAATCTTCAGAGATTGAGGTGTTCATGTGCCCAACTGAGGTAGCTGAGCCTTCAGAATCCAATGAGACAATCTCAAGCAGTGGATTTGTCCCAGACAGCTCCCAGTCCCATTCACAAGTGCCATTTGAGCAAGAACTCCTCAACAGTCCCCCAACTGCCTCCCAGCTGTTGCACAGTCCACCTTGGTCAAGTCCTGCACTCAGTAGTCCTGTGAAATTTCTGGATGCCCGGTTTGGCACCCCTCCTAGGAGCATGGCTACTCCTGGGCCTTCTCGTATCAAGGAGGAGCGGGATGACCTCTCCAGTAAGTTGCACTTGGGCATTGTTGTATTTTGTGGTTCATTTTCAGGGAATAAAGAGCACACAAGAACATGGCTGCAGAGAGTGCAATCTCAGATGGATTTTGGGACTGTGGCTGTGACTAGCATGAACTATATGTAGCTATCACAGTCATAGTTACCGAGATGTTTCTGAGAGCTAGCAACTATGAGCAAGTTTTCAGCAATCTTTGAGCTTCACCTGGTCCGAGTTGAGTTGCACAGCAGCTGAGGCTTTTGGGAGCTACGATGTTCAGCATTTGCCACGTAGCACCAGAAGATTCAGCATGTGGTGTAAGCTCACAGGCTACATGTAGACATGTAGTTAGTTCCTGCATGTTGAAGACTGAGCTTTGGATATAACTATATGAAATTTGTTCCTAATACGGTGTGTGGGCTTATTGGGTAATTGTGCAGTTTTGGCTTGTGAAATTGCTACCATGGGAAGTAGAATTGTAAATTCATGTCATTGGTTTTGTTTATATATTATATGATTAAATGTATGTGTCCTTTCGCTAAGATAGATAAATATTTGTCTCATAGGTCTGTCTCTGTCCATGAGTGAGACATTCCTCTCACTGGAGCCACCTCTGGCCGACAGCGAGTACGCTTTCACCTTGGATGGATCTGAAGGGTTGACAGACCTCTTTGACTTTGATCTCCTGGGCAGCAGTGGGAAGTGATCGGGTCCTCCTCCTGTCAAGTTCTGAAGTACCTGTCTCATCCCCCACCCCTTTTCACATTTTTTGCAATATTCTGCCAGAAGGGATAGGCCAGCATGAGACACGTCACCTATGCCAAAGTATGAGATGTGTAGAAGAGAGGGTAAAGTTCATCCAGTCCCAGGAAGGTTCCACTTTTAATACAGGAAGAACAGCTCAACTCTACTTAGCATACTTTGCTCTCTTTAAACCTTCTTCCAAAATTTGAAACCAAACAAAAAGGAAGGAAATAACTTTGGTTGTAAGAAATTGTATCCTATTAAGGGCTTGTACCATCTAGACCTTTCTGTGACTGGACAAACTATACTTTAATTTATTGAGTTGGTTTTGGGAAGTTGGTGGTTCAGGATGTGACAAATGTGCATCTACACCAGCAAATTCCTTTTAATGCCATTGGAAGTCTTATTTATGGGTTATTCAGTTTCCCTATTTTTTATAACTTTTATCCTGATTATCCTGAGGTTATGTTTGGGCATTGTGTTTGACAGAACAGGGCCATGAAGGGCATTTTAATGTATTTTATTCTGAACCACCAGGTTCCCCTGGATGTCGAGAGGTTTTAATTTATGGAAGATGTTCAGTTTTAGTCTTTTTTTTTAAGACAGCAATGTATTTGCAAAAAGGGCCATCAAGGGCATTTTTTGTTGGCACTGGCAGAGAGGTTTCAGAGAAGTGCCATTTCTCATCTAGTGCCTACCTTTTTATTTTTTGTGCATGCAACAGATTTTGCTTGATTTCTGAAACAATGAAAGTTTTCATTGATTCTGTTTCATTTATCTGGGTACGTGAACAGGGAGGGTCACAAGAATCTGCTACATCAAAACTGATGGTCTCGAAAAGTAGATGGCTGTTTTGCTGCTACCTTTGCATTGATTGTATCAGGTGGTATTTGCGTTGTAGTGTTGCAGATGGTTGAACAGCTGCAATTTTGTTTCACACATCAAGGGTCATTGGCAGATAATGTTGAACCCGTGGAAACCTATATCCAAGCTACCTAAAAGCAGGCAAAGGTTCAGTTTCAATGCAAGTCCGAAATGGTATAGGCAGTGGAACAGCACAACTGATCAAACATAAACTGGCTTTCTGAAACTGTAATATGTTCCAGTAATGTTTGTATTAGGAGGGAGCTGCTTTTTTGACTGAAAATTTACTAAATGGGAAAAACCAAGACAGTCTCTCATTTGTATCCAGCTTGACCAACTATATTATGTGAGAGGCATATGGTTCATTCTTTGTTTCAGGCTTGAGTTTATTCATACTAGTGTCCTTTGAGATCCAACTGAATGAGATTGATCCTAAAGGAATCTCAGTACTGTCTGTTTCCTGTACAAGGGGCAAGTGTTGCAAGTTCATGGCAGGCTGAGGATTAGAAGGAAATGCTTTGTAAACTTCCTTGGGATGCATATGAGACAGTGGCCTCATGTTCAGCTGTGTGGAACCTTTCACGTTTGTCCTTTTATAAAAATGAACTTGTGTTGCTGAGTCTCATCTATCAACTGATTTGAAGAGTGTGAAGTTGGAGCAAGAATCATTTACTGAACAAAGAGAGGATAGGATGTCATTAGCCATATGTAGGTAACAAGGCTTTTGCATGCCTATAGAAAGCAGGGAAAATGCTATTAGCTCATAATGACGCAACATCCATCGTAATTTAATCCTTGCATGGCTTTGGAGTTGGCTGCAAGCAGTGGTGTAATGTCTGGGGAGCATGTGACTCCCACTCTTCAAGAAAAGAAGGTAAAGATTCAGAAATGCATTACAGAATCCCATTTCCCTCCCACTTTTTCTATCCATGCTACTTTTATAGATGCAGTGGCATAAATTACCTTTTTATATTTATTTCAAGGGCTTTTAAAAATAATCAGGATCTTACCAGAGGGAAAACTATGAAAGTTGGGATGCCTACTTTTCGGGTAGTAACTGTTGTTGCCCAGTCAGAATTAGAGCCCATGGCAATATACAGGGTGTCCCAAAATCCTTGTGCAGTTTAAAATTTAAATAACTTGAGATGTATAAATGTTACAAACTTACAATAAACATTTGAAAGCTTAATTATTGAAGTTTTAAAACAGTGCAATTTTATTCTTAAACTTCAACATAACTGCCATCATCTGTGATACATTGTTCAAGCTGATTTTTTTAACTGAAAACATTCCTCAGCTGCTGCTCAGTGATTGCATGGATTGCATTTGTAATCCTAACCCTAAGTTCATCCAAAGAACGAGGTTTTGAGGAATAGACAACTGTTTTGACATGACCCCACAAAAAAAGTCCAATGGTTGAATCAGGTGACCGAGGTGGCCAAGCAGGAGGCCCTCCTCTACCGATCCACCTGTCTGAGAAAGTGTCATTCAGAAACTGCAGCACACGCAAAGCATGATGGCAGGGTGCACCATCTTGCTGAAAGATGGTATTATTTAAAAGATTTAACCTCTCTAGTTCAGGGATTAAGAAATTCTGCAACATTGCAAGGTAAGATTCACCATTGCCTGTTGACTTCAAAAAAGAAAGCTGACATGGACTTTAGTTCTGTCAACCATAGCACACAGTTACTTTTTCTTCTACTGTTGCAATTTTCAATAGGGTAATTGAAAAAGAAATTTGACTGAAATTAAAAAGACTAATGCTTAAAAACTTTATTAAGCTTTCAAATGTTGTTTATTATAAGTTTTTAACATTTATACATCTTGTGTTATTAAAATTTAAAACTGCACAAGGACTTTTGGGACACCCTGTATAAACTTTTACTGTTTTAACACTAACTGGATTTTTGAACAGAGAACTAACTGATAATGCAGCTTTATTCCAGGGCAAATACATGATATTTCCTGGAAGTAAAGCAGCATTATCAGGTAGTTCTCTGTTCAAAAATCTACCCTAACAGTTTACTTATTTGTTCAACTTTTTTTTCTCTTGATCCTACAACCATGAATGGAAAGTGCCATAGAGGATTGACAGAATATGAAAATTAGGACTTATGAAAAAAAACTCTAGATCTGAACTTAGCACACACTAACAATCTCATAGCACCTGGACAAGTCTGCTCACAATCTCTCAAGTTGTGAGAGGGAAAAGGAGGGGCTTGGAAAAAATCAGATCTATTTCAAGTATGCTGCTTCATTTACAAACTGATGTTCACAAGCACCTATCCTCATGTCTGAAGTAGGAGGCAGGACAACATTCATGAATGTTGAAGCATAATCATGATTGGAATTGAAATGTACATGTTTTGAATATTTATATGCCATTATCATTGTTGAACAATTCTTTTTATGAGAGCCATAGAAAATGTAAAAAGAAAAAACAGCAGATGTATACATCTGCCCTGTTTTCATCTGCTAGATTTTCCCAGCAAAATTTCATGAAAAGTAGTACAAGACTTCTTGTATCATTAGTCAAATTCTGCATTTATCTGTTTGGAAGAATCCTTCCAGATGATACCTTGACTTCAGGAAGATTGAAATCCAAAGGACACCCAAAACTGAAGCATAGCTAAGATGGCATGACGGGGAAATTCCAAATTTCCTTCATTCCAAAAGGAACAAAACACAATTCAACTGAGTTTCTAACAGTATCCTGAAACCAGAAAAGCTGTACAAAAGTCAGACAGGCTCCAGAGTTGAATAAGGAATACCAAAAGAATGAAAAACAATGACATGGTGGGATAACAACTGAGAAGTTCATTGCGGAGATCGAGAGTGTGACTTGCGGGCACGTTTCCTGCTGCGACTGCTCCGGGAAGGACTTCGAGATCGCCTGTCTCGTTCTTCCCGTTTGTGTCTCTTTTCCCTATCTTTTTCTTTCTCCTTATCTTTTTTCTTCTCTTCTTTTTCTTTTTCCTCTCTCCTTTCTTCCTTATCCTTGTCCTTCCTTTCTTCCCTATCCCTGTCCTTGCTCTTCTCCTTCTCCCTGTCTCGATCACTGTGCCGACTTCGCTTGTGATGGCGATCAAGTCTCTCAGGTCTCTCTGTTGGACTTCGGGAACGAGACCGACGAAGGTGACGAGAACTTCTGCTTTTCCGATTATAAAATGAATAGAAGTGATTGATTACCAAGACTGGTCAGTATCCACCAAATGCATACTTCACATAGCAGAGATAAGCCAATTCACACTTAGCCAGATATGCCTGGTATTTTATATGCAGTACAGCATGCAGTGATGCACTTGAAAAGTTCTTTAAAGGTTTACCAGTGAAGTATGTTACTCAGAATTACTTGGTCATGTTTATGCCAGGAATTTAATGTCTGGCCTGATAATTCTGAGAAACATGACCGACGTGAATGTTTTGAAGAATTTTTTTATCTGCATCTCTGCACATTGTCCTACAAATAGGATGCCAGGCATATCTAAATTGAGGGTGGGAAAAAAGGAATACAAAGTGGAAAAACTTCATACATGAGAAAAAAGACCCAACACACAGGCAGAATTAGAAAATTACACCTAACATGCCCCAGCAAAAAAAAAAACATGCTGATTAAGTGTAAGTAGGTGCCATTTATGCTAGGAAGGAATAAAAAATTCCTACTCACCATTTTTTGGTCTGATTTAAACAGTGGTTCAAGAGATACGGGCACATTCAGTTGTGACCCAGGTCATGACTTGAGGTTCATGATTCTTGGCAGGTGCAGCGCTTTTAAAAAACTATTATACCCAGGATTGATGACATTGACAAGAGGTGTCACTATGGAGTAAAATTTATTTTGAAGCCTCAATGCAAGTGTTGAACTGAGACCCTCGAGTCATGACTCTGGTCACAACTAAATGCGCCCACTTAAGTGATGGTGCACAATAAGCAAAACCTGATGCTTGTATTTTTTCCAGATTACCAGCTCCACATGTTTTCAATGGTAAGGAAGTCTTTCAAATGCAAGGTAAAGCTCTGCATAACAGCTTGATGCTCAAGGAGGCATCTGGTAGTTGTCTTGCTGAAGGAATACCTCTTTATGGTTTATATGGTATAGAAGTCCTTCAAATGCAGATGGAACATAAGATACCTACTATGTTGTCCACACTAAAATCAAAGGTACCATCAGCAGTTGTTTCCTCTATGGACAAATCCTTACTCAGTGGTGGGGGGAGGGGGGGCTTCAGCCCCCCTCTTGCTACACCACTGGTGTAAGGGTGTTTCTGGGACTGAAGATATATGTATGAGGAAGCAGGAAGAGAGATGAATTTCCTACTGGAGAGTGATAAAGCATTCCTTCCACAACCTAATATCCTCTTTACTCACCACAAGAGTAGCATCTATGACCACAGGTTGGGAGAGGAGCATCTATCTATGAAAGAACATACATTCCAGGAATCCCAGATCCAAAGATACATACTGTTCCAGCTGACAAACTGTTAGACCTTCCAAACATGAGTTTCAGTTCCTACCAAAGACTGACTGTTCCCATTTGGTAAGAAGGAATACTTCTGCCCTCCAACTAACAAAGCAGGACCTGGCTGCGTAATTACTATGCTAAGGGGATGCATGAATGGGGTTTATAATATTACTGCAAGTGTTCCCACAAAAAAAAGCTCACAAATAAGTATGTTCCCACCAGTTAGGTGCCTCAGTGCCAGAAAAATACAGCATGAACTCATTTCTGTCAAAAGGTATGACATATTTCTGAAAACCACTACCTTGACTGGCTAGCCTAGAATCTGAAAATGCTAATATTTTGGAAGTTCAAATGAAATTATACCTCCTCTCCCAACAAGGGGAAAAAATAAAATACCATAACCTTGAACACTCTTAATGGTTAGGTCCAAAGAAAGGGAAGCCACAGGTTTGAATGACTTACAAAGAAACAGAATCTCAAAGGATAAAACTTGCACATGCAGACTTGGATGAGGACAATCCAAGGCTTATTTTTTAATCAGAATCACTGACCATAATAAAAGACCACAGCTGAGAAATGAACTGCAGAGATAATATAGAGATCATGGACAGCAAAGAAGGGAATAGAAGGAATGCAGAAAGACAGAAAGGTGCAGTCATGGTAACCAAGACATTTGGCTACAAATATTTCCTTGTCACACATTCTTTTGTAATTTCTAAAAGACAAGTCATATGAGTCAAGTATCCATCCATTCCTTCCTACTATTCATAGATGCATGCCAACACAGCAGTATCTCCCCATGGTGTGACTATTTAAAAGAAGGCCCTACCTTAAAAGCCTCTAGTTCTGGCATACCAAACTCACAGCAGAGCTCCTGGCTCCTTGGGGATTGTATTATTTGAGGAAGGGTAAATTGGGCAAGTGAAATCATACAGAAAGAACTTGAGGACTCAAATACTTGAGGGAATCAATATCCATGATAGGCTAAACCTTTCCAGTAAAGCTTGTCATACAGAATATGCACATCAACTCCTGACTCTCTTTTGCTGCTTGCATACCAACAAAGGAATAGTTACTCCACACCTAAAAGTTCAAAATGTGATCAGCAAATAAAATTTTGAATCATCACAAGGAGATAATGTCTTGCTCTTCCTGACTCCCTGGGGGCAAAATGTGCATAACTGCAATGATCAACCTTAAACATAAAATTTATGAACACCATGAAGTGTAGCCAGATTTGAGTAAAAATGCACCATAATGATCTTATGCTAAAGATCCAATACTAATTCCAAGAATACCACTGTTAAAGTTCTCACCTTGAAATGTCCAAGTTGAAGGGGGAGGGGAATGGAAGATAGAAGGCAGTGGATGACTCCAGGATATATCTAGCAGGAAATATCTGTCCTGCTTTAGTCATTTCATAATTTAAAAAGGACTGTTTGCTGGACCTAAATTTCTTCACCCCCTCTGAATGATTTGCAATTTATTTGCCACCTAATTCTTGGAGCTGTATCTGGATAGCAATCACCTGAGTCCCAGTAAAGCATTTTTTGTTTACAATAATGAGAGGTTTAAAAAGATACTTTGCAATATAGAATCAAGCAGGAATTCTACGACTGCAGATCATACTTGGTTTTCTCATAACGATCATACTTGGTTCTCTCATATCGATTTCTCCATCAGCTCTCTGTGCATCATCCAGAACAAGAGGCCATAATATTATAACAATGGGAAGGGAAGGGGGGAAAGGAGAAAATTTCCTAAGGATGTAATGTGCATTTAATAGAAAAACCTGCTAGTTTAGATCCAAAACTTTTCCAGTCTTTTTTGATGACCAAAGTAGGACACTACTTTGGGGGCCCTTTTGATAATGGTGTCATTGGGGAGATCTCAATTCACTGAGTCAAAATATATATACAACTTAGAGTCTATCTCATTCATGCAGCGGTAGGGAGGTAACAGGCATAAAACCAGTCTTAAGCTTTCAAACTCCCTCTATCACAGTTGTTAGAAATTCTAGATTGAAAAACTGAAGCCTACCTTCTCCCCTTTCTTCCCTGTCCCCCACTCTCAAAGATTCATTCTTTGATCATTTCTTGCAGTACCATGCACTTGCTTGGTGGCTGTTTCTTTTCACTTGCTTACATTTTAGGTTCTCCCATGGTTATAAATTCCCCCCTCCCCAGTTCGTTCATTTTTCTTCTACTTTCTCCCTTTCAACTTTGAAGTTTAGAGGGCACAGGGTCCATTTTCTCAGGGTTATCTAAAAGCAAATGGGAAGATGTGAAAAAGTCTGATAAAATAAAGGACATCAGTTTCCTTCTTAATAAATTTATTGACTTGATTTTTTCATTCAGCTAAATTCCTCCCCTCTTTATATTAATAGAGATCCTGGTTGCATTGAGTGTAGTGGTTGGTTGCATGATCCTGAATATTCTATCTACCAGGTCCTCACCTTCAATCAGCAAGATCCTCTTAGTTTCTACCTTTACCCAGTCTCTGATCTTCCTCCCTTTGCCATAACTAGGTGGACAAGAAAACCTGCAGCAGGTTTTTCAGATATACAGAAATCTACAGGGAATACTTTAAACATCAAATCAACTCATGTAAGATTTGGGACATTTCAAATTTTGAAAGCCTAAACTAAACTGTTCATGCATGAAAATATGTTACTTTTGCTTTGTTAGAACCCAAATGTAATTGAGAGATTGCAAGTGAACTCTCATCTAAAACAGTTGCTAATGCTCTGCTCAATACAATTGCCCACCACATCTGCCTTTATGAAAGATATGCATCCTCAGTGTCAGGCCCATTCAGAGTTATTCATCACCTTAAATGCCTAAATCCTTTCAAGCTTCAATGTTCTATTTCGAACATCGAAGCTTGAAAGGATTGTCATTTCTAGATTCAAAGAGGAATCTATTCTCACTGACTACAAAATAATTATATTCCCAGTTCAAGAAAAAATGCCCTGATTTATTGCTCTAGTAAATAAAAAAAAACGTATAGTTTTAAAAAATCCATGCACTGGTACAAAACCAATTACTCTCCCTTTATTTTATTTTCAATGGTAATGTGGCCAGGTGGTGGAAGAACAAGAGACCTAGCATACCATCACTTCAACACAAGCAACACCTAAGGACTAAGCTAATGGACTTTACACATGATGATGTCTCCAGCATAAGAACGATGAACTTACTTTTGCATGATATATCAAATGAGTATTATAATGTGGCCTTCCTTCTTCATGCTGAAAGTGACTTAGCTCTTACACAGAATAAAAAATAACACCTTCCAAACCATGAGCTTTGTCAACTGCTGATATTCTCAATCTTAGAATTGATTTTGCTTAGGTCTGAAAGAAACATGTGAATCATGAATACAAAAGGCTCTTTTTAAAAAATGTTAGCACTTACTATCTGCTAATGCTAATTGGAGACAGATAATAGTTAATTGGAGGCAGAGAAGAATATCATGAAAATTCCAGATAAGAGTGAAACATGAAGCTAAGGATAAAATGAGGTACTAAGTAGATTGCAGATACACCAATTATGACAAGGAAAAATATCACAATCTGCACCATAGTAACCCTCAATAATGAACAAAGGTAAAGACTATGTCTAGAGAACATGCCTTTTATAATTTACTTTTACAAGTAGTATCCAGACAGTACAATGTACAGGGTGGCACAAAAGTTGCACACCATAGGTGACTTCACTGTTACACTACATTAATTCTTGTTTATTTCTTTGCAGGTAAGTGATGACTGCAAAATTAACAAAGGAAGAGAGGGTGGAGTTAAGATATGTCCAAACATGTGTGCAGCAAATCAAAGTGTTTTCAAGGTAATGGCAAACAATTTGGACATTTACTGTAATTTCCCCTATGGTGCGTGGCTTTTGTGCCATCCTGAATAATGCACAATTTTGCTACAGAATAGCATAATCATGAAGGTACATATGCTAAATGGACTATATACTAAAGAGCCTCTTTTCAAAGTATCTGGTATTGGCTATAAAAGCATAGAAAGTGTAAGCATTTGTCTGTCTTAACTTCACCTGCATTATTTTTGCATGCATTCTCTTTTTATATAAATTTATACAAGAACAGCTTCATGAATTTAAAATCAGTGACTTTTTTTTGTGGCACTATGAAAAGGTACCCTACCTTTGATTTAAAGAAAAAGCAGAGGTGAACAATTGAGTACTATGAACAACTTAAAAAAGGCTGCCACTGAGCCCTTTTGAATCAAACTAGCAGAAGAGGGAATATCTTTCATGGAAGTCACCATGGCACCATAAGAGATGATGCTTCAACAGCCCATGAATTCATTTCATATAGATGTACCAATAGTAGAATTCCTGCTGTAGAACTCCATGGAATCCTTTGCATAAGATTTTAGGGATCTTGCCTAACCCTCATTCTCAAACTCTGTCAGTGCATGTGCATTGGTCATGGAAGAGGCATGCTTTGCCAAGAGGATCAGTGAATACCATAAGCAAGTTATTGACTCTTACATAATTCCAATCCTTTCCATCCTATAACTGGCCAAGAATAGGATAGAATAGGAATTCAATATTTAATAACAATAATGTATTAGAATTTGGATCACAGTAATTCTACATAAACTTCCTGCATGTTTTAAACCAAGATACCAGATAGGAAGTTGTCTTGCCTTGAATTAACAGTTGGCCTATGTTTTACAGAGAAGGCTAGGAGAGAAAAAAAAGGCAAAATATATATTTTTATTGTTTTGCAAATCCCTGATTTCATCTGTCTTTAGAAAAGCTTGTAGATATCAGCCAAAACATGCAAAACAAGCAGACAAGCAACAAAAAGCACCAGATTAAATTTGGTAAAAAGGATGCATGGCTTCATGTCACAGTATACTGTGCTCTGAAGCTGATGACTAAGGTCATGCCTAGGAGCAAAATCATAAGAGCTGACCTGTGACGCCTCTCCTCACTGCGCTCACGACTTCGACTGCGCATATGAGATGTGCTCCTGGAGTGTCTAGAATCCCGGCCATCAGTGTCAGAACCTGGAATAGGCTGTGGTGGAAGGGCACCAGGAGGTATTGGAGGGGGAAGCCCAGGAGGTATAGGGCCTAAACCAGGAGGAGGACCTAATTCCCATTCCTGAAAGTCAAACACATACCATGATTATAAAATACCATAAATTACTACTCCACAAGTAAAAGTTAGCTTAAAAGGCAATGCCAAATTATTAAGACTAACAAGAGATGACAATTTTAATCAGACTAATGTGTAGGTTGCTTGCTTACGTAAATTTTTAAATTGGTTTGTCCTTCCTTTTCAGAATCTAGGGGAAAGAAACATTACCTGGGACACTCATCTACTTCATCTACTTGATGACATTGACATCACACCATTCTTAATTGAATTCCAAGAAGAAAGTTTCAGATACAGCCACATTACTTAATCCTACCCAAATGATCTTCAGGTTCAGTTTTTTGTTACTTACAGGTTCTAGACTGTTGGTGTTTTGTTTCAAAGGAAGTATACCAGAACAAGGATATTTATTAAAAAATGTGCTTGTTCCCATGGCCATTCACCAGACCGCCCCTCTCTTCCAAGATTGAACTTCTGCTGCCAAAAGCAGAAATTCTGAAAAAATCTAAATAAAAATTGTACTTTTTGTCTGTCTCTTGCTGTGATCTGCATCTTACAAAATTATCACTAACAGCCAATGAAGCAGAAATCATCAGCTGTCATTGATATGAACCTACTCTTTGTGCAAATCAGATTTATAATACCTGCTGCAACCATTATGTCCTGAGTGGCTCAAAAAAAGTTAAGAATACATGCCTGTAGACAAAACACTGAACGAGGCAGAGGTAGGAAATGTACAGGTCCTGTACTGTCCTGTACTAAGGTGACTGAAAATTCATTTTAATTTTCAAACATATTCAAAAAACGCATATTAAATTGTCCAATAAAATAGATAATTCAGAACCTGAGTACCTGTGTCTTTCCCGAGTCAAATGGGCAAGCTTGTCTGTGGTTGCCTGCTCAGCTAAACTGGGGTAGGACAAGTCCCATTGTGCAAGGGGCAAGCCCCCAAGATGACACTGACAATGCATGGATATATATAGCTATCACTCAGAACAATTCCATTGATATTTTTGACAAAATCATCTTGGATGTGGTGCAAATTTCCAGTCTATATCTTGCAAGATATTTTGTCTTCAGACATTAGAAAGGTGCTGGTCTGGAGGCATGCAAAAGTTAACTTCATGATCTTCACCATATAAAACTTCAATCAAAAGTCTGAGACATGCTTGCAAAATTTCATGATGAATGATTATTCTTCATGGAAATTTGTGAATATCATCATGAGACCTGACAAAAAACGACTGCATTAATGACTGAGACACACTATTTGTTACTCACTGCAACAGGAGGTGGAGGTACTGCCCATCGCTGGTTGTCTGCTGTGGGCTCATATGACTGGTAATATGGGTCGGATTCTGGCAGGTACTCTGATCCAAATGAGTCTGGAAACCTGTGGGAAAAAAATAAAAAACAACAAAACCATTTACTTCTCAGTTGTTTTATCCCTTTTCACTGGATGAGCAAGATTTGAAACAGAATGAATTTGAATGAACCTTTCTCCAATTGAAGGAGCATGAACTCTAGTGGAGAAGCAATTAATATTTAGCCTTGAACATACAAGGCATGTTGCAAAAATTCCAGGACTGATGTTATAAAAAATAATGGAGGGTACTAACAAACTAATGGTGCTTTTCCCCTTCAAAGTAATCCCCCTCTGCATCAATACACAGTTGCCAGCATTGCTGAAGGTTGTTGAAGCAACTTTGGAAGTCATTTTCAGGAATATTGTTCATCAACTCTGTCAAAGCCACTTGAATGTGTGGAATGTCCACATAACGATGGCCTTTCATGACTCTTTCGAGTTGTGGGAACAGAAAAAAGTTCGATGGTGACAAATTGGGTGAATACTGTGCATGAGGCAAGACAGTGACCTGTTTTTCGGCCAAAAACTGTTGGAAAGACAGTGCTGTGTGTGGGTGCGCATTGTCATGCAAGAGGCACCACTTTCCATCATCATCAAGATCAACATCAATGGGGAAGCATGCTGTGCATACTGTGACAGGAATGAACGGGTCATAACTTGCATGGAAGTTGGGGATTGAGTCTACTTCATGCATACACTAGAGAAATTACATGAATAGCTCCCAATTTTTTTTTTTAAATCAGTCCTGGAACTTTTGCAACATACCTTGTATAACACGGAGTACAGTAATAATATATTTTATCCTTAACCAATGTATTTATTGTTCAACGTATACCACAGGATTGAAAGTAAAATATAGCCACACCAGCTTTTACTGCTTTTCACTTCAAGTAGTGATCAGTCTTGCAATCAGGAATATAAAGAGCTAATGGAAACAATTTAAAAGTTTAATTTAAGCTTTCAGAAAGTTCATCTTCAGATTTGAAATAAAAAGTAGGGCAACTACCATGCCATAGGGTTTCCCTATTGGCCTTTCATCCTAAAAGGACAGAAGTTAATGCTACTTTTACAAAGGATACTTAGCCTAAGTTACAACTGGTGGAATGGTAAAACCTTTCCCCTTCACCCATGGAAATGGGGGGAATGAAATCAAACTGAAAACATGACAGTTTCTCTGTTTAGAGTTCTATAGGCCTAACACCAACAAGGTAGTGCATAAATAGCACTATCCAACCATTTATATATGAGATATGAATTTGATCAGACTGAATTTGCAGTATGCTCATGGTTTCTTGAAATTACTAATACTTATCTAATCATACTGTGATGCCTCTGAGAACACTCATCTTTTTTTTGCCATACCCTGCATTGTCCACCACTATATATAGTCCAGGGATGCACAACCTGCGGCTTGTGGAGGCAATATTTGAGACACACACTCAATTGGTCAGCTGGCACTATCCCCATGATGGACTGAGTCATGGTCCTTCTTCAAAGACCCTCAAAGTTTCACAAACCTCTGCAGCTCAGTTAAGAGCCATTAAGGATTAGTATGGCCCTTTAATGAAAAAGGTTATACATCCCTTAAATAGACAATTGATGTGGGTCCCACTTACCCCAGGTTAGGGGTGCCCATTTGCCCCACATGGTGAATTTCACTGGGACAAGTTGGCCCCTCCACACAAATTGATTAGCTAAAGAGCACATAAATCCACTGAATTGGTTTACTAACATGGTCTATGAGCTTTTGGATCAACTCTGACTTCTCATAAAAACACAATTGAATTTGAAAAGCCTCTTGGACTTAGTCAAAATAACATTCATGCACTCTTGTGTCAGTACTGTTGGCCATGATGGGGAATTTATCCTTCAAATAAAAAAAAGCTCTGTAATTGGGGGTGGGAAATATTGTACAGTAGAGCTTACTTCATGATTGATAAAATAGGCTTCTTTCCCCTACCTTTAATGTCAGTTGGAAAAAAAAGGGTTGCTCACTTGCCTCAGGGCCCAACTACCCCAAGGAACTCTATAGCAACCAAGATCGTAAGCCTGCAGCACCTGTAGGTACATCTGTCCCTCATTCCTCCCTCCCACTTTCTTGTTGGGTGGGGATGAGGGGGAGAAAGGACAACCTGGAAACTGACATTGACAACTGATACTAGTTATTGCTGATTCACCCTTAGTGGATAGCCATTGCCTTTGGCACTTAACAACCTGCAATCAGTTCCTAATCCCAGTGCAATGTACAGCAGTTTGAGAATGTGTTTGGTAGAGATCAGATATTTTTCCAAAGCATTCTGTAGATCACCAATGCAAAATCATATTGTATGCAATGACCATAAAACATGCAACCACACATGCAAGCAGTAGAAGCTGGCAAAGTCTATACGAGGAAATCCAGATACTTCAAAAGGAGGAATTGACCTCTTGCTCATCACAAACACACACATCACAAACATCACATTTTGCATAGCAAAATTGAGTCACATGTTGGTACTATCATTGAGCATGGAGAAACATTTGGGCAGATCCAACCAAAACATGGGGGAAAAAAAGAGTCAATTTCAATACAAGTTTGAAGTAATCCAATATAGGACGATGCAAGATGGTCTTATGATCTTAGTGGAGATACAAGAGACAGTTTTTTCTCACAAGGTGAACCTCAAATGAAGATAAGCTAAAAAATAAATCTATCCCACATGACACTAAAAGTTCTACTAGACAGTAACTCAGGCATGCAGTAATGCTGTGAAGGACTTTCATTCTCTTTGTGTTCTTTCTTCTCTTTTATGAAAATACAGTACAAAGAATATGGTAAAGATAAGAAGCTCTAGATCCAATGTGAATTGTGGAATAAATTCAAAACAAGGACATTGTGAATCATTCATAAGAAGCATAAAAAGCATGCAGCCTATGAACTATATAAAAGTACATACGCCTGAGGCTGATACCCAGGAGGTGGGATGCTCATGTCAGGGAATGGGACCCCTGACTTGCGTAGGAAATCCCGTTTATCTGCAGTCATCACCTGAAGAAAAAAAGATAAAATTAAGAAAGATACAAATACGCATTGCTCTTGGCTTTCTGGCTTAGGGTAGCCAGAGCTCAACAAGGTTAGGTCATGACTATCCAGGCTTTTCTCATTTATACCTTGCCCAGGTGCTTGCTAGGGGTTGATGGGCTATAAAAAGGCCATCCAATATGAAGTGTTTATCAACCCTTTACCTGGTATTGACACATTAATATGTCTGCAATAGGAATGTTCTCACTGCTATTGATGTGGAATTGCATTTTAAATTTCCAACTTGTCAATGCTGCCATTATGTATACATGATTGATACAAGACTTGAATTCTACTGTCATCTATTGAGAATTTTGTGGTTCTTTGTAGAGCCTGCAGATAAAACTGCACAGGGGCTCAAACCACCTGTATCAAGCTCATCAGATAGAGGCTTTAATTATAAAAAGATAAAGATAATAAAAAACTGACAAAGCAGTAGAAAGTAATACCCTAACACTTCCACTTCACATGACCACCCTTACTTTCCAGTTTTCTCCCACCATCTTCATAGCTGTCTATATGCATGACCCACTCCACACTTGGCCATAGTCTTCATGCTCTGCATAAATGCTGTATTAATCCGATTTGAAAACATTTGCTATGCAGTGGCTTGTTCAGGAAATCAAGCTGAATAAAAATGTAAGGGGACAGATCACATGGGTAGGGTTCATAAGGAAGTTTCCCAGCTTCAAGAGAGTTGCTTCTGAACTACCTCATTTTGCAGAGTCTTTTGTCATGTGGCAAATTCAGGCATCCTTGGAGCAACTCATGCTGCTTTTTTCAAATTGATGGTCAAAACGGCCATTCAGGACTTCCAAATAATATTCCACATGAACCCTCTGATAATTAGAAATGACATGCCAAAGAAAACTCCATGAAAATCAGGAAAAGTCTTGAGTGTCATCAGCATTGTGGATATTCCAAGTTGCTTTTTGAGGTCCTGGGAATCTGGTGATCTTAACTCAGCACCTTGGCGTTTAAATTTTAAATTAAAAAATACTTGCACACTTTGTAGGTAACCCTGGAAGTGACATGATGTAGCAAAACCTTAACGTTTAACCCTAGCCTAATAAGTTATATCAATAATATAAGGGGGATGAAAAGTACTGAGAAACACCCTGTATCCAAGTTAAAGCTTACACTCCCTTATGCCTACGTAAATCACTGCAGGAAAACCAATGGGACAAATGGGAGGCTTAGACCAATTGATCAATGGATGATCAGTTCAAGCCCTGTTTCTATACAGGATTGGCTAGGCAACAATTGGCAAGGCAGTGAAAATCCTATCAAGCTCCCTTAGAGGATGATGACCACTTACTTGAATGGTTGAGACATCAGCAGAATCTTCTGCAAGACTTCCAGCAAGGCCAGCAGAATTCATGGTGCCTGAAGTATCTCCTGGTCTCCGACCCATGATAATGCCAGGCTTTCGAGGTTCTTCCAAGACACTAAGCCGGTGGTCCTGCTTTCCTCCTTGCGTGGTCATTGCCAACTGTACAGCAAGAGATCATGAATCACAAATGGTCATGAAAGCATAATATAGCAAGAACTGTAGTGCAAAAGTCCTTTCCCATATAACTGTCAACCTTCCCATGTCCACACTCAAGCTATAACTCCATACTTGGAACACTTTATTTTTTTTATAAACAAGATCTCTTAGTGCACTGAATTTATCCATACATTCACTTTAAGGAAAAGGCTAAAAATCACATATGACACAGTAAAAATTAAAAGGTGTAGTTCAATGTTACCTCATTCATTGACCTCTTAACAAAAATCCACTTACAACCCAAGCTGTATTTTGAATTGGAATTCTCAAAAGGTCTGGGTTTTTTTTCCCTCACACGGCCACATGCATTTTTTCAATTAGGAAATTCAAAGTTCTCAGTAAAAGGAAAAACACAGAAACACAAAATTTTTTTTTTTTTTTTACTGCAGAATAAACATTGTGGAATAATTTAGCAGAAGGAAGCTGATAGTCTCAGTTCTCTAGTGGAAAGGATAGTCTCTCTTCAATTATCACTCTTCAGTCTGGAAAAATGGCAAATTCTTGTTCTTCCATAAAATTTCAAAATTGCATAAAATCTTTATCAATGATTACGAATTTAATTTCATAAATGAAGTTTACAAAAGACTGGGATAATTAAAAAATTTGTTGCTGTGATTGATGACAGCACAAGCAAAATTGAAGGGTTGAAAGGCAAAGTGGCCCATCATTAAAACCAAGTCCAAAAAAAGTATACCTGGCTTTGATGCTCACAGAACTTTCTTCTTTTCATTGAAGATGGCAGCTTTTTTTTTTTGGAAGTATATTAAAGATAAACTGGTCTATCAATACATACCTCATTTCCTCACTTTAAGAAGTCAGACAATGGAATATTCATTCTTTCTATGTGGAGGTCAAGCAGAGAATTTTTTTTGCAGATATACCACTTCACCTTTCAGCCCTTCATTTGTCAACTTATTTCAATCTGTTCTGAGTCTATCCTCTGCCCTACACCCAAGCAGTTTTAAAAAATTAATCAACCATTTGCCCTAAATTGAGTCTCCAAGTGAGCTAGGTTCACAAGGAGGTGAGGAGTCACTTGGGTATCAGATGAAGTTTCTGGAGCATAGGGACTAGACTAGGGATATTGATTAGAGTTCCAGAGAAAGGGTACATTCAATAACACTAACTCTCCAGAACCTAGTGGCCTATTGTATCTTATAAATCAATCAAAAAGGTTAATGCACTTCCTCAATTCACCCAAAGTCTCAAATGACTATGCTCAAGAAACAGCTACCAGCTAGTTATAGGACTGGATATCTCTCTTCAAAAAGCCTGAACAAGGTCTAAAACTGCTTGATGAAATCATCCACTGCCAAAAAACTGCTTCAAGTAAGAGCTAATATGCTTTACTTTTCACTTGGTGGTCCAGCTAGACAAATACTGAAAAAATGTGAAGCATGCTAACCTCAAATCTAATATATATAGACAATTGTGAATGACACTAATTCTAACCATATTCCAGATAAGCTAGAAATCTGAAACTTGGCACACAAGTAGCTATTGGGATACAGAGTTCAGAAAATTCTAATTTTGGAGGTCCATGCCCTGGGAACACCCATTTTGGTGGAAATGTTTTCAAATATATATATTTGCTTCAGTCAAACGGAGAGACATGGAAAGCTGAAATTTGACATGAATGTGCCTACTGAGAATGAGTTCAAGAAAAATGTCAAAATTCAGATGCATGCTCTAGGGGCATATTTTTGGGGGTTGATTTTTCTAAATAATTTTTTTTTGTCCTAGTGAATTAGGCAGAAATAGAAAGATAGGCACAAGCATAACTGACAATGTTGAGTTCAGGAAAAATTCAGCTTTTGTGGTGCATCCCCTTAGAACATAGCTTTTGAGTGGGTAGGCATTTCAAATGTTTTTTCACCAGTGAAAAGGTAAAATGTACAAGGATGAAACTTCATGGGCATGTAGTTCTCCTAGTACTGATTTCAGTAAAAATTTTACTTTTTAGGTAAAACCCCTAAGGGCACATTTTTTGCAGAAGGCACATTTTCCTGAATATTTTTTTATCCAGTGAAACGGAGAGTGAGAGAAAGTTGAAACTTGGCACAGAAGTACTTCATAGATTGCTGAGTAAAAATAGATCCTGCTTTTGAAATATATCTCCTCAGGGCAGATTATGGGAGGGAAGTATTTCAATATTTATTTTTCACTCTGACAAATGGGAACATATAAAGAGATCTGAAGTTCCACAAGAAATCATTGGAGAAATGATTTCACTGATAATCTCAATTATGTCCCCTCATGGCATGTATTTTGACAGGGACATACTTTAAACATGTTTTCCTACACTGGAATATATTGTAGGTGTTACAACACATTGCTGCCTTTGTATTGCTATCATTTTCCCTATCATTTGCTGTATAGAGAGCAAGCAAATTTGCTGGAATGACCATAAGACAAGTAAGGAGTTACAAGAAAGCAGCTTGCTTCCCATGAGCAAAAGGGCATTGTTTCTACCACCCTCATAGCTTTTCATAACAGTATGGGTGTGGATAAGGTTAGTAAAAATTATTGCCAAAATGCACATGCACTATTGGGGCAGCAGTGGGTTCTGTCCTGGCAGTCCACATGCTCTGGTCCTGCTTGGATACAGTGGATTAGGACTTATGATTCACAACTGCAGGATGGAAAATGGTGGGAGACATATAGCAAGAAAGTCTGGCCTTCTCTTACTCCTTGTTACTGCCATGAACTCCTAATCAATGACTTTGTCTTCCCCAGGAAAGTAGACAGTAATACCCCTGCTGCCCACACCATTGGCTTTCATCATTCAAAGAGAAGCTAGTCCTTGACATCTAGCATCTCTCACAACTGGGACTTTTTTTCAGATCACCCATCCCTTCTAATGAATGCACTCAATTGCAAAATCTGGGAGGAAATGTGGTAAATTAGGAAATTTTCTTAATTAACCCATGTGAAACTGTTTGTGTTCTCCTGGCTCTGGTCCAAACAAAATACTTGCAAAGGACTGCAATACAACATGCCACAAAGAACACATTAAGGAACACCATACTCACCTTAAGACCAGCACCTGATTCAAAGCGAAGTTTCTTCTGTCGTTCACAATAAGCATTCCATGTCTCTTCAGTGAACCCATAGTTGAAGTAGTCTATGGATATATACAATACATTTTGTTAAATCACTCAATACCAAATGCTGAAATTAACCATGGGAAATGATGTGAGACATTCTTACAAGTTGATTCCAACAGATATTTATATTAAAGACAAGATGAAAAGTAATTAGAAAGGGGGAAGGCAGTTATCAGATGATATCACAAACAGGTGCATCCACCTCCTTGTACCTTCTGATGTTTTCTGATGAGCAAATGCTCACCCATGTGATTCCCTGGCTTTGTCATACTCAGCGCCATGCTTGTAATGCAATACAAGCCACAATGTGAGTTGGAAACCCCCATGAATCATGGATTTCAAATCACAATCACAAGGTACTTCAATAGAAAGTCTTGATTATCTAATGACTATGATCTACTAGAAAAGCACCATTTATAACTGGAAAATGAAAGAAAGAAGAAAATCTTTGGAAAGGTTTTCTGGAACCAATGGAGAGGCATTCATGGACTGAAAATAACTAGGGTTGGGTTTCAAACAAGACACATGGCAAGATCTTGAATTCAGTTTCTTGCCAAGTCTTGATAAGATGTCCTCTGCCCTTAACACCAAGTCAAGTGTAGATAAACTTATGAATATAGATTTTAAGAATACCCCACCCTACATTTTATGCACATTGCACTATGAGCAAGCCATGTGGATTTCAATTATGGGTTTGAGGGCTTTTATTGGTCAATATTCACATATCCATTCACCTCCAATGTTACACAGTCTTCAGTTTTTGCACTTGCTTTAGGATTGAGCAAAACTCAAAATATTAGAATGTAAGTCTACATGACAGGGTTGATGAAAATAATTTTTTTCAAACTAGAACTACCAGAATGGTCATTTTGACTGCTGTATTAAAAGTTGTATGAAACCATAATTCTGTAACATTTCTTTTTTTCCAAGATGATACTTGGTATGTTCAAAATGTGGATATTAGGGAGGAAAAGTTAAAGATGCAGAGGCCCTTAGTCACCAAATGAGAGTAGTAAAGTGCATATAAAAATAGCAAGCAGTCAAAATGACAGCTATGGTAGTTTTAGTGTTAAATTTAAAAGAATCAGAACTTTTTCACTTGCTTATTGTATTTCTTCCTTATATTTTTCTATTGTACAGCTATTTTTTTGGCATTTTCCTTGTCCATTTATCCATTGCTTTGGTGGGCATTGGAACCTTGTTGACAATGCATATGCATATGCATACTTTGTGTCTGTCCACACAAAGTAGTTCAAAAAGCCTTAGCATGAAATTTCACTAAATTTATAGATACTGCAATCTATATATAATTTCATACTCTCTAGTCCCTGAAAGCATGAATAAATGAGAATATTATTTTTTAAATGAGAGAATTAGTCCTTTTTATCACATATTGCTATCACACTTATGATTCTCATTGAAATTTTGGAAATGCACATAGGGGAACTTAATAGAAATACTGAAGTTAATGTCAACATGAGATAACACAGTCACAAAATAGCATTGCTTTCATTTCCTAATACTGTGGTCATACACTAATTTCAGACTTTTGTTTCATATATGGAAATAACATAATACTAAATTGACAAGTTCTCATATATCACAGAAATGTGACCACTAGAGCAAGGGACTTTCACCTTCAGTTTCATGAGATGTCACATTCAATACTGTGGATAAACCTGTTTTAAAAAATTCAGCCCCACCATCTCTTATGCATCTGGCTCTTCCATCATGTACCATCTTCATCTCAAAGATACCTAAAGTTGCAATTTAACTATCATGTAAGTAGTCAACTTGTTCCATTGCCTAATCCTGTTAGTGAAAAATCTTTACCCCAACTCCTTATGTACAATAGTGTAATGTATTTTTTATTGCTTCCTTTCTGTAAAATATGAACCTTGGAGGGTAAACATCTATCTCTATTTTGAGGCTAAATTCCTGTAATAACTTATAAGTTTATGCCAGGTCTCTTTCAATCACCTTCTCCCTACTGAATCAAGGTCATGTCAAAGTAATCTTTCCTCATGTTTGAAATGTCAAGGGCATTCATACCTAAGTCACTCAAAATAATTAGCCATTTCTTAGATAAGTGAAGAAACTTACCAGTGATATCTGCACCAGGCTTCCTCCAAGGCTTCTCTTCTAAGCTCTCAATGCTGAAGTCAAATGAAGGAACACCATTTATGGTGCCAGGAGATTCAAAATCTGAAACAGTGAATGTTCCACTTTTCCCTGAACCCTCAGTTCCAGGTTCTCCAACAGTAGCTGTTCCATATGCAGAGCGTCGTGCTCCACCTCGTGGTGTGTATGGATATGTTCCACTCTGAGTGCCGGACTTTATTTCTCCAATTGTTACCTGCACATTGTCATCATCACTATCCTCTTCTTCTGGAGTTTCTCCTGCAGTAAAGAAAAGAAAATGAAATTATCTGAAATAAGCTTACAACATTCTAAAGATTCCTTAGTGTAATATGACTCAAGCAAAGCAATAAAAAATTGAACATTCTACAAATGGCATTGCAAAAATATATAAAACATTAGCTGTTAGACAGGGATTAACAGTCAAAAAGACAACTTTGGCTCAATAGCTTCCATTTGTGACACTAAAACCTCAATAATGTACCATTTGGTAAATGGTACAATGCAGCAACTATATACTGAGAATATCAGGAGAAGATGAAAAATTATTATTCAATTCATTCAGGAATTAGATAGCCATAACAACATCATTACTATTCAACTTATTCAAGTCAAACAACAATATATAAATAAAACATGTCCAGCATTCTGATGAACTGATTTTCACTGCTACCTTCCAAACTTATCAGCGTGCACAAGAACACAAAGAAAAGCAGACAAAATCACGGTCAGAGATGCTAACAGTCTATCTTGATTGGCTGACATAGCAATATAAAGTAATGATTTATATAGGGCAAAAGTAAAGTGAGATCTCCTGGTCAAGGATTTATGGAAACTGCTAGGTGACTAAAAATGATCATTAAAAAACACTCCTGAAAAAGTATTTTAGTGGTTGGTACAACATTACAAGTAGAGATCATTGAATACCAATCAATAGAAGACACAATTCACTACATACATTTGGATTTTCATTCATGTTGAACAATTGAAGCCCAAGTGGCAGAAATGTCAAAACTTATGCTCCAATTTTCCAGCATGCATTTGCAAACATGCTGGAAGACATGGCCACCATTGCTATAGACTGGTTTTGATAAACTCAGTTAATCAACTTCATGACATCCACCAGAGACCACACCTGTTTTCATTGCATTTTTCTCTCTGGTCTATTTGATGCATTGTTATGCATTATTGGCTGAGGCTAAAGCAATGCCCTATTGATCATTCAGAAATTCATTCAATTTTGACTACCATGAAAACATTTATACAGATATTCTTTTACCTGCTAAAATTATTCTTCCAAGGATGCCTTTTTTAACTCCATATAGTGCAAATCCAGTGGGCCAATTAATCCTCCATTAATACACAATTACATTTTCATTTACTCTCAATCTAAGAGTGAAATTTGAGGCCCAAGCATACCAGGAGGAGCAGGTTCTCCTTCTTGTTCTTCTCCACTCAACTGCCCTTCTTCAACATCACCACCTGTGACTAGTTTTTCTTCAGTGTCTTCCAAATCCTGGAAAAGATATGCCATCATCATGCTTCAACCTGCTGGAACTGACTTTTCTAAGAAAAGGTGCAGAAATAGGCTCAGCTCTACCAACAATCAACTTCACCTAGTTCCATTGTTGAGCACAGGGCAGGGATCATGGACATACTTGCAAAAACCAAAGAACTCCACAAGGTCTAAAAATTTCATACTTTTATGTATATATATCTTGTCTGCAATCATCATACATTTCATGCCTGACCTCAGTCAGGATGACAAGTGTTTTAACCCCTTGAACACAAAATGCACCCGTACGCATCATGGAGGAATCAAACAACTGATACACAACTCTCACCAGTTGCTCACAGGGGAAACGTATCATGAGAGGAGGTAAAGTCAGTAGTAAGCATATATGTAGAGAAATTTAGCAGAAACAAAATATTATTTTATTTAAAACAAAATTCTGGCATATGAGAGCAGGAAATCGTCCAATACCTGCGGCATTCAAGGGGTTAAAGACAAATCATGCATTTTTTTATAGAGCTGTCAATGCAGTTGGTTCATGGAAAGAATGGCCATCTCTCCTTTCCAGCACCATTGTTATTCCGTCAATGGTATAATAGAGTCCAGATTTAATCCTACAACACCAGCAGTGGTACTATCAAGGTTAATTTTCCTCTTTAAACTAGGTGTCCCTTCAGAACCTAGGCTTTGGCTATCCATGCATGTTCTTTTCTTATCTTGTCACCTGACATCTCATTTCTCACCTTCTGGATCAGTTCCCAAGAAACCTTGCTCAGATGAGCAATAACCCCATCAATGATCAATGAAAAGGAATGAATAGGTAGACCTGGAAAATAATTATTTGAAAGCTTTTCCAAATCTTCAGAGATAGCAAGACATAAATGCTCCTTGATAGCTATGGCAGTCCTCTTTTCTGCACATTAGCTTCAAAATCAGTAGATAATGAGAGAACATACAGCATACTGGAACACTTTGAAACTAAAAAGAATGAGCACCTTCAAGGACAACTGCTGAAGTTATGGGATGAAATGAATGTATTACAAATAAATACAGCACTACCTCTAAGATGTATACTAAGAGCTGTGAGTCACCTCCTGTATCATGGTATCACAGAGGGCTGCAGAATTATGCTCAATACAAGATTTGACCTGGCCTCCATGTTTGTCCTATCCTTTCTCATCAGATGTTTCATAATAATTGCATGCCATATTTTCATTATACTACAGAGTCAGAACACAGCATCAAGACCATTGACCCATTATTCCTATTTCTAAACTCTTTCATCCCCTTCCATACTACATGCCCAATTAGATTCCCAGACAGGCTTGTCCTGAAAGGTGGATGAACCCAGAAATCAGATCCAAGAAGAATGGTATGAGGTGTGGAGGTGGAGGAGGTTAGGAGTTGCATCCAAGCCATTCTCCTTCCAACACCACCTCTGGCTCATAATGAAGGACCTCCATACCTCATATTGTGCAGCTACTTGTGCATGGTGCTGAAGATTTAATTTTGACACCATGGGGGATCAATGCAAACAAACAAACCAATGAAATCATAAAACCCCATTGAATTCTTGTTCTTTTGGCACAAACACCAGGGTTCTAGTCCAAAAAGTGAAAAAGTTATTGCAATTATAAAATAGGGAGTTACTTTCCAAACACCCTGTAGAATAAAGCTCCCATTAGAATAGGGTCCTGGTGCTCATTATTCTTGCCTGGGGCACTTGACTTTGCTGGAGGTCATTCTCTGCAACATGAATCCTCAATGCAGTTCATCTTTTGCTATATCCTTCAAACATGGTTCTATAAGGTTGCCACTGCTTCTGGGCAAGTTATTCACAGGAGAAACATATTTCCTGTGATCTCCAAACATCTGTCTGACTTTCCAACTCTGGAGAATTTAACAAGAGACTGAATAGGAATTCAACAGCCTTCAGTAATTGGTCACTAATTGAAAGGAAAATGACGTGGAAAAGCAATTTGTTACAACTTCATTTGCATATGAGCTCAAAATTCATTTGTACTGAAGTTCCTCCCTCCTTTACTTCCCTGGAATTTGCATTACGCATTACTCATTCAGGGAGAAGTGTTACCCAACCAATATAGCTTCAGATTTAGCCATAGCAATCTCACCATCTATGTATAAACTCAGTGTAACAAATGGGGAACCTATGGACCCCTGGCTACTGATGGGAGCATTTTATGCCCTATTTGTAATTTCCCTTTTCCCAAGCTAGAAGGAAAAGAGAATTCCAGACTTCCTCATTCAAACTCATATGATTAGATGAGAATGCATGAGAAATGAGAGATTTTTCTAGGAGTGATACTGCAATTGGCATTTTTAAAGTTCATCAACATCACATCTTTCAAAATATGCTCCTGAAACTAATGTCTCTTTTCTCTACATTTTTTTTTTTTATACAGAAATTAAGGTCTATTTAGAGCTATATTCAGATGAATGTCCTTTCCAGAATGCCTTAGGAATCCTTCTCTCAGGTAAAATGCCTCTATTGTTGACATAGGGTACAAGGCACGGAATGAAACAAATTGGGGGCACACCAATAAAAGAAAGCCTGAAAGCAGAGCCAAAACAGTTTGGCTTGAAAGAGAAGTAAAGAGTTGAAAAGAAAACTGGTCCATCTACAAAAAAATATTTTCATAAGTTCCAGAGGGAAAAAGTGGTATACATAGATGCAGTGACAAATATGGACATTCTAATGAGAGGTGGTGGGGGTGCTTGGGAAGAGGGAGTCACAAAAGGGGAGGGATGATAGAAACCCTCAAACCCCTCCTAGAAGCATCCCAATATACAGGGAAGTTTGACAGTTCGCAATTTTTTTACTGTAAATTTTGTTTAACAATAGTTTTGTGTTAAAAGAAAGAGAATTTGATGGGGTTTTATGATTTCATCCATTTGTTTGTTTGCAATGATCCTCCATTGTGGCAAAACCGAATCTTACACACCATGTGCAAATAGCTGCACAGTACAAGGTGTGGAGGCAGAGGAAGTAGGAAGTTGCATCCAAGGCATTCTCCTTCCACCACCACCTCTGGACTATAATGGAGGACCTCAACACCTTATACTGTGGCACTAGGTGGTGAAAGAAAATAGGTGACTCAACAAAGTTAGAACTACAGTATGAAGATATTTCAGCAAAACATACCCTTCACTTTCAGAAGGGGGTGAATAGGCAAGGCAGAATGAAATGAATTAACATATTTATGAGCCAGGTGAAGGCTTGGGAGGGTTAATTAACCTAGGAAAATCTGAATTCAAGAACCAGACAGCCAATGAACTGACACCAACATATCTTTCTGAACCATCAGTACCAAAGGAGTAATTTCAACCCCTTGATTCAATTTCCTTCAATCTTCTGACACCTGCAGTCCTTTTATACCTTTTTCAGAACACCCACCCTCCTCACTGATTGTCTTCAATACTTTCAATTAAATTCCTATGATGAACATTGTTTAAGGGGAACATTATTCAAATGGAATATTGTTCATTGACTAAAGTTGAGGCAAAGTAAGCATCCTGTACCTTGATTATACCATGATCTCTAGCCAACATGGGCTAATAATGGTTTATAATGTTGGGCACTAGAACAGAAAGACCTAATCCATAATTTGTATCATGAATAGATTGGTTTGATTTCTCTAGCTCCAAACTCATCTATTCCTTAGCACATCCCTTTCCCTTATACTTAACTTACCTTACCTTACCTTTTTGATCCTGCAACCTATCTTGGCAACTGCAAAGTGATCTGCAGCTCACTACAGACTTAAATGCTATATAATTTCTGCTCGTCTAACTGCTAATTGTTATCTCTAAATGTTCAGATACTTGTAACAGCCCATCCATGGCACTTCCACAGCCTACTGATTGAGAACCACTGCCTTGGTACACAAGGAAATATATAATAGATGTAGAATTAACAAATTAAGAAACACACATCAGAGCTTTCATGAGTTCAACTTCACATGGTTAGACAATTAGAAACCTGCAGGTGAGTTTGGATCTATGCTGTTCCTACATGCAATGAGTGCATTTCATATATTTACTGGTACATGTAGCCAACCCTTATGAATGTATCCCATTATTCTACTCCCCTTTTATTGTGTATCTCAATCAAAATGAGATATTTTTATGGCTTGTGATGCATCCAACGAATTTCACATGAAATTCAGTCCATGGCTAGGTAGTTTGGATAGGATAAAAAAGGAAAAAGCTGTACTTGAGATACTTTCAAGTATTTTTATGCACTTGACATTTACCTTTCTGAAGAGAGCTGTATAAAAAATCATCTTCATATAGTTCCCTTACTTTATCCTATTACTTTTCAGCTTCCCAAACTTCCCTGACTTTTCAGTTTTCAGGATAGTAGAGACTACATGCATATTTGAAGAAAAAAAGTACAAGTCCAAAAGAAATTACTTGTCCAGAGCTTACACCACTTACAGGGCTTACACCAGCACCACAAGTAGGAGAAGTAGTGATAGGAACATACAACCTGAGATTTTATCCAAAAATAGGTTTTTCTTAAGTTAAATCAATTCAAAAATTCATAAGCCAATGCTTCCTTTCCAGTTTGTATTCCCTATGCTACAATTTGTCAATGCCATGATATTTCCTCCATATAATCTCTTCCAGGTCTACTAGGTCAAATGTGCAGTTCGTCAAAATAAGGATCTAAAGAAAATTTTGGGGGGAGCGACAAGGGATTTTCTCCAGCCAATCAGGCAATTATAAGCCAGGACTACCCATGTCGTAATTTTCCCATTGCAGGCTAGCCTCAACCCCATTCAGGCAATCAAATAACGTGCGAAGTCGTTCCAAATTCACTGTGGACCTAACCAAAGTTTTAAAAAAACTAACCCTCATGAGCGTGATATGCTATGTCCACACCTAACGTTAAACTATGCTAACTCGGCTCTTCTTAACCTTTTCATTCAGTCTCACCGCATGATTTGATTCTTCTTCTGACTTTGGCTTTTCTGGTTCTGGCACCTCTTCTTTTCTATCATCTTCCTTTGAGACTTGGGAGTCAACGTCCCCGTACAGCCACTGGTCATCATCTTGCGATAATTCTACCGATGTTTCCGCGGTCGCAGACATGTTGCGCCTGCCGGCATGGACTTCACCGACTTACCTGCCGGGAAGGAGGATAATATTCCGGCGCAGAGCTGCCAAATCGTCCAATCAAGAGCTTCAACTTTCGCAGAACATACGACCAGGGGCCAGTTTCTCGAAGCTTCTAAATCTTTCCTTTTTCTTAAAACGTGCTAAAACACGGCTATTTCTAATATTTTTCTCGTTTCCTTCTTAAAAGCGGTTTCTCGAAAGTTCTATACTTTTTCTATGCTAAATCTTTTTTTGCGTTTAAGAAAAGTTTTAGCATGGAAAAAGACAGCCAAGGAGGTGTCTTAAACTTTTTTTAAAAATGATTATCAGCTTGACCTGGATATTCTTATCATTCTAAATGTTCCGCAAATATTTTGTTGCTCAAATGAGCATTTGTCCCACATACCTTCTTCTACATTCGCATGAGACATGGCGGCATGGGAACATTTTCGCCGGCGAAAATTGCTTAGGAGGGGGCGCGTTTTTTGTGATCGCCTTAACTCTCTTGAAAACTATTGGGATGATGAGCTGCGACATCGATATCGACTGTCGAGATCCCTCATCCTGGATATATGTACCATAGCGAATGCTGGCATTCAAAGAGGTACCTTCAGTAGTCAACCATTCCCAGCAAACAATTTGAAACATAATGTTGAATCATCGTTGAATCAACATTGAATGAACGTTCAGAACGTTGATATAACGTTGATCCAACGTTACCTTGTTTGCTGGGTTGGCTCTTCAACTAACTTTGTGCTGTACATTGAGATTCCTCGCTACTGGTGCCATCTATTCCGTGTTGGGAGATGGACTAGGCATCTCCTAGTCAACAGTTCTCCGTGCCATTCTTACTGTCTGTGAAAATCTCGCTCAGCGCTCGCGAGATTTTGTGAAATTTCCCTTACCAGTAAACGAAGTGCATTGGATGAATACTGATTTCTGAAAATTGAGGAATTTCAATTCCCCAAAGTCATCGGGGCAATTGATGGAACCCCTATCCCAATTGAACCACCCATGGACAGGGAATACCTCTATGTGAACAGAAAAGGCTTCCACTCCCTGTATGTACAAACCGTTGTCGATAGGAAAATGAAGATACTGAGTCTTGTTGATGGCTATCCAGGCAGATCCCACGACAGTCTCATTTTTGAGAGCAGCTATCTCGCGTTGAAGTTGAGTCAGAAGGAAGTTCCCGGAGATGGCTGGCTGCTGGGAGATTATAGATACCATCAGCGAAGTTATCTGATGATTCCTTTGACCAATCCGAAGACTAGGAAAGAGGTTGCCTACAACACCTGTCAGGCAAGAGCTCGTTCCATCGTCGGAAGGGCTATTGGTTTACTGAAAGCTCGATTTAGGAGCCTCAGCTGCACTAGTGGCAGTCAGTCAGAAACCTGTAGCATCAATGTGCAGAATGAAAAAATTCAATCCCCCTTCAGAGGCAGAACGGACTTCAGAAAAATAAAAGTTTAGATTTAGATGTTTCGAGAAACACCACTTTCTAATCTAATTATAAACTTTTTCTATTCTATTCCTTTTCTTAAAGAGTCCGTTTAAGAAAGAGTTAGAAAAGATTTAGAGTCATAAAAATACGAATCTGGATTTGTATTCATTTTTGCCTGCCTGACCTGGGGCCTGCTCCTCGCCTCTACTAAACTGCCTCTACTCAATCTAAATCGTAGGGTGGATTTTTGAACAGAGCACTATCCGATAATGCAACTTTATTTCAGAGAAAATGCATTATAAATCCGGTAAATAAAGCTGCATTATCGGATAGTGCTCTGTTCAAAAATCCACCCTTATTCTAATTCAAAATCTAAGTCTAAGTCTAAATCTAAATGGATCT